GGACCATCCCCGTGGCCCCTCTGGCCCCGCTCCAGCAGCTCCGTGTCTGTCCTGTGCTGAGGACCCCAGAGCTGGGTGCAGCACTGCAGGGGGGGGTCTCACCAGGGCAGAGCAGAGGGAGAGAATCCCCTCCCTCAACCTGCTGCTCATGCTTCTCTTGATGCAGCCTAGGACATGGTTGGCTTTCTGGGGTGCAAGCACACACTGCTGGCTGATGTCGAGCTGCTCATCAACCAGCACCCCACAGTCCAGCTCTCCATCCATTCTCATCCCAGCCTGTTTGTGCTTGGGGTTGCCCTGACCCATGTACAGGACCTTGCACATGGCCTTGTTGAACTTCATGAGGTCTGCACAGGCCCACCTCTCCAGCCTGTCACGGTTGTCCCTTCCCTCCAGCGTGTTGACCACACCACACAATCGTGTACCATAATTGTTTATAAGCTCTGCAAATCTGGTTTGCAAGCTCTACAGACTAGCTACAAAACTTTATTTTGCTTAGCAGCAAAACCAGCTAGTCCCAAGGGATTTAGATTATAGTGGTCAAAGTTCAAAAAAGCTTCCACAATGCCAGGAAAAAAATTTTTTTTTTCAATTCACTTTAGCTATCAATTTGTAATAGTTCATATAACTCAGCAAATCTACATAACAATTTTGTGTTTCTTTCAAGCTTTAAAAATGGCATGTTGTAGCATTTTAAGTGGCATGAACATCCTCCTAATAGGGCAGCATTTTTCATTACTTAATTTGCATGTTATTCCTCAACTACTCAATAAATGGAAGTCTGCCATTCTATGCTGACAGACAGCTCACTAAAAATCCAGTGCAGACAAAGTGGGATTGTACCCAATGTTCATCTGAATGGGTTGGGTTTTTTTTCCAGCAGTATGAGACTAATTCTTAAAGTGACCTTGCCACCAAAAGATTCGTCCACTGAACCATTAGCAGGTATGCTTATAGCATGTCTCATCTTACTCAAACTGAGTATTCACATACAAAGGTCTTAGAGAAATAAAGGCCGTGTAATGATGGAGTAAAGGCTAAGAAGCCCCCTATCACATCCCAGCTGTAGGAGGAAACTTTATGGCTGTTTGACAGGAGGAAGATACTGGCAACTTGTAGAGCATCCAAGTCAGTATAGCTTTACAAAGTTTTGAATAAACTATGTTCTATTTCATACCTTCTCCAAAGTACATCCACAGGAACATTCAGACAGGTTATGTATGAGTCCATACTACTCTTTGGGCAAGACCAATTGCTGCTTAATATAGAAATTACACCTGCAAGAGACTAGAAGAGACTGGTCCATTCTGCCTAAACCACAAGTATTTCACTTGTGTGGGTCTTCCTTCCCATCCTCTCCCCTTTCCCCCTTCCCTGTTAACATGTCCTGCACAGTAGGTGATGTCCACACAGCAGTCACTGTTATGCTCAAAACATACCAAACTATTAGTAACAGTGCGGCTGCAAAAACACAGAGAATGGAGAATGGGAGAGTTGCAGATTCATAACTGATTTATCCAGGCAAAACTCATCTACTTCAGACATCTTTGGCTGCCCAGTTCATAGGCTATAGTGTCTGCACGAAAGTCTTTGCACCAGCGCTTCCCCACCTAAGAGCATCCTGGAAGTCTGAGCTAGGAGCAATCTTTCAACTGACAGCATGGCAGAGGGGACTACAGTGCCTGCCCCTGGTGCTTTAAAAATTCCCCCGGAAGCATACTCAGGGGCACAGCCAGAATTCACAGGTGTCTGCCTGGTCCTCCCTTCTTTCAGTTGAGTACTAGTACATGCGAGTTTTTTTGTTTGTTTGTTTAGCACAGAACTCCTAAAGAGAGAGGAGCATCCAACCATGTGCATCGGGAGGCAGAGCACCAGGCTTCCTGCAGCCTTCCAGGTCTGAAAGTGAAACCGACCCCGCTGACAGCTTCAGGTGAGAAAGAACCGGGACAGAAGTGCGGAGGAACAGCCGGACACCGCTCAGCGCCAGGCACCGCCGCGCACGGCAG